AACCCTGTCGACGTCTTGCATCTGACTGTTACATAAACATGATGTTCTTAATCCTCGTCTCAAATATCAGGACTAGTTTGCGCATTGTTTTTCAAAACGGTCAAGGCGAACAACGCAACTGTCCGCTTGTTTCATCAGTTTCCCTAAACAAGAGTGTTTTCTCATCTACATGTCGGCGCTGGAGCATGCCAGAAACAGTGTATCTTCATTAAAACACCACATATTGCACTCTTTGATACGAAAGTGCTATCCTAGCGAGTCTTATTTACATGAATCAACTACATGCAACCTCCCGTCGTCAAGTGATAGACAAACACAATATACAACATGCTCAAAAAGCAGGCAGCCGTTTTATCTCAAAACTTTCTCCTCGTTTCACTTTTTCATAGGTGGGAAATATTTCTAGAGTTGAGTTATCTCTAATATCTGTATTTTTCGTGTTGCTATCCGACGCTATCTCCGTTTACCCCAGCAACCTTGGAAGTCAGTCTCTGACCGCAAGCCACCGCGATCACCAAATTCTCCCTCTAGAGCCGGGAGCTTTTCAAAAAACGATGTTGCTTTATTTCAGGGGTTTACCTGAGCCTGTCGGCACAAGTCTCTATGTTGTTCAGTAAAGTACTACTAGGCATTCAGAGAGTAATAACGCCGATATCATTCTCCTGCCTCTCGGGTGCATACAGGCGGTTATATCGGTGCCATGCCTAAGTCTTCTGAATTTGAGCTGGAATCTGCGTCTGCATGAGTATGCCAAGCAATTCATCTGTGAATATCCGATAAGTGTATTGTGGGAGGTAAGTGCAAGGACGTAGAAGGCATACTGCTTCCCTATTTATACTCATATAATATCTCGTTCTTTCTCATGTCTTGAGCCAGAATTCTAATCTGCATCAATGATATAGGTATTGTTTTAACTCGTCAATATCTTTTCCAAACTAAGATGGTCGAGTCTCCATATACCACTACCCCTCAGCTTTCGCGGTTCGGGAAACTCCCACCAGAACTAACAAACATAATTATCGACCTGCTACCCCCAGACTCTCTTGTCTCTATCCGCCTCTGCTGGCCTCATCTCAACGGATTAATTCTGTCTCGTCAGTTCAAAACAATTCGGCTTACATTCGCTGAAACGGATATCGAGAGACTGCAGGCGATTTCATCGACTTATCCTTACTATGTCCAAGAACTTGTCTTTTCGACTGCTGAAAGCCGTGACACGCATAGTGACAGATGGGGTCAAGTCTTTACAGGCGGAAAATATCACGCGGATGCCAAAGACTACCGTCGCAAATTCTTGGCTTGTGTCGATTCTCTGCCCAACCTGCACACTTTTACGTCTGAGCTGGGTCCTATCAGTGGAACTACCATAAAGGAGCATATCGACGGGCTTGTGTATGCCATATTTTCTGCTCTATGCCGCTCTTCGTCTCAAGTTACAACTTTAAGATGTCAAGACCCCCTGAACTATATGCGTTGGTTCTTGTCCAAGGTCAGGGCAACTCGGGGCCCTCCTGGAGGGATGATCAAGGTCATTCCGAGCGTATGCACCGGAGACATTTGCACCTGCTGGCAAAGCAGTCCCCAGATTTCAAGGCTGAGCTCGTGTACCGCCCCGCCGTCTGGAAGAGAGACCGAATGGATATATCCCAAGATCCCCTGGGAGTGGAGGACTGCCTTGCGAGGACTCACAACACTTGATCTGCAGAATGACACCGCAGGTGGTAGCTGGAATTGCTTTGAACAACTCGGTGATAGACTTGTTTACTTTCTCGAGGGAGCTGTCAACCTGCAAGAGTTGTCAGTCAGATGGAGACGGACTGATCAGATTGGATCTGCTGGCCGCCCTCTTATTCACTCCGGTTGGCAGTTGGAGCATATATTCCGCGGAAGATGGAAAAATCTCAAGACCCTCAAGCTCACATTCATCCAATTCACATTCTCCGCCAACCCTTTCAAGACCTTCATTCGACGGCATTCAAAAACTCTACGACACATCATGCTTCACAACTGCCGCAGCGACCCAGAAGTTATTAGGATTATCAAGTTTGCTGCTTCGTGCCCTGGTGTTAAACTTCATCGGTTCGCTGTCTTTCCAGCGCATGAGAGCCATCCAAGGGTTGAGCTCCTGGATGAGTCATATCCAGATGGGGAGCAAGTAGTTGTCGAGACACCTCGGATTGTTCCAGAGAGTGCGGTACTCAGCTTCATCAACAGCAAGGATCCTCAGCACCTCGATCCATTTGCCGCGTGGAAGCCTCTCGAGTATGAGTATTGGGGAACTGTCGAGCAGAGGGCTGAGTCGACTTCGATACAATGGCCTGAGAATAATGGGATGGCCGTGAAGTGCAAGCAGTGTAGCGACTAGTCTGGGAATAGCTTATTGTCCATATGGCAGAGTTCACCTTGAGAGATCGCTGGGGTCACTCGGAGTCGCCAATGACATGGACCTGGAAAACAAAGTGATATATCAGTCAGTTGAACTGATGTTCATAGCTTCAGTAAAGAAAAGCGACACATTTTGATTCAAATAGCATTTTACGCTATTGGCATAACTCTAACCGCATCCAACGCCAATTTCTAATCGTTATTTCATGGCCGTTTGGCCTAGCATTTGTATGAGTCAATAAGAGCGGAGTGCCTCGTGAGTATCGTGCCGGGCCGTTACTGGCCCTGAGCAACTCCAGCGCTAGCAGCACTCTCTCCAACCTTGAGTTCCTCCTCGGGTACACCAACACCGACACTGGCTACACTAGCAATACTCTGTGTCGTCATACCTCGTTCCCGCTCACCGCCTGGTCTAATGGGCAATCCTTCCCGAGGGCCTGCTATGCTGACTCCTCTAGCAGGGGTAACGCTCACGCTGGCACTGGTGCTTGCGCTTCCACTTCTAGGACGGCTTGCATCACTGGCTCTTCGTTGGCGGACCTGTCTCTCTAATTCTCTAATTTTTCGCTTGAGAACATCATTCTCTTTCTTGGCAGTCTCAAGTTCGTTTCTGTAATATGCTGTCTCTTCGTAACGCATGGTGGCAGGCATCAACCCTGGGCTTAATTGCTCGCTCACACTTCCAGGGGTTGCACCGACTGAACTCGGTGGGATCGACGTAGGTGGGGGGATTCTCTGATGCTGGAAATAGTTGGACGGATCCAGGCTGCTGTGCTGAGGTCCAGGAGAACTCGTCAGGCTCCTTCGAGAGGCGGTACTATCCTGCCGTGAGAGAGGGGTAGCCTGGGACGGACGGGGCGCATGGATTCGTGCTTCGTAGGACGATGACAGCTGTTGATTTCCAAGGCTCTGCGACGTGGTCGATGATGTTCTATGATGTCGAGCCGTGGGAATTGAGAATCCCGAGCCTGAAAGGAGAGACTGTTCGGGTACATCGTGAGTTGAGTTGCCGGCAGAGGTAGAGGAGGTGTTGGAAACGACGGAGGCGTTCTGGGCAGCTCGGAGGAGGGAAAGCTCACGGGTCAAACGGTTGACCTAAAGATGTTAGATATAGCTACTGAATCGAGGTTGACATCTTGTACTCACCACGGCCTCTTGCTCTTTTTCAAGCTGGAGGTGAAGCTCAGCGGCGGTCAACGGACGAGGATGTCTTATCGGTCCAGGGCCCGGACCAACACCGGGCTCAGCTAGAATATTTGATGGAGCATTATAAGTCGGTTGCGAAGCATTCAATACAGGCGATGGAAGAGAAGGCGAATGCGACGGGTTCACCGTATTCTGGTTGGATGGGAGGATGTTGAGAGATGGCGAAGCTGGGGCCGGCGGAGTAGCCATCTGTGTTGAAGACTGGCGACGAGAGGCCGCAAGAGTATGTGGAGAGGGGGGTACTGAGTTTAAATCCGGCATGCCGGTCATGAGGTCCGTATTTTGTATGGAAAGTTGATCGTTTTCTAGGTAGGTAGGTAAGCTTGGTGGAAAAGTAAAAGTAACGCGTAGTTGAATGTTGAGGTAAGCTCTGGCGCGTTGTTCATGACCCGTCACCGTCACCGTCACCGACGGGGCGAGCGGGGTCCAGCGGGCCGGTCACTAGCATGGGCCCATTTGTACCGGTGCTAAAACACTGAGTGCCCCCTGGAGAGGCCCTGAAAGACTCCGACTGGCTGCGATGGCGGTAGGTATGAAGAGTGTTTGGTGAATGGAGGTAAAGAGGTTAAACCTGAGATACCTGCCTTCCTTAGCGTGAAGGTACCTTCCGTTTTGGCATAATGGTATTTTCAACTATAGATGTTGCCTACCCTGGAGAAGATAATAATACCTTCATTTCAGACTCCATCGTTTATGTTTCTACTAAAATCATGGTAGTAGTTAAGTGGGCTATTGAGCCAGTGTTATTAGATCGACCAATTGCCCATTGTATTATTGGTGACGAGTTGGGTTAGCACTGCTTTTTAAATCGCCATTCAGTGAAGCTAACAGCATTGATATTGCAAGCTTGAGACTTGATGCAACGAGCTTCCATGAGCAATTGAACCATGAGTTAACAGACGAAGTGATATGAACGATTAAGAATGTATGAACTGACGGATGATTATCAACCTCTCAGTGATCCTTATCAATATTTGTCACCAATAATCAACCTTACAGTAAGCATGATAAACTCCAGAAACTCCCAATACAAGAAAGTGTGGGAGCTTCATATCACCAACAAGCTCTGACAGCTTGACACCTACTGAGAACAACTTATCAGCAGCTTCTCACTGTTCCTGAATCAAAACCACAAAAGGACCGTATCTAGACCCTCTTTCAGTGAATCATTGGCTCGCATCGTTACTCCGTCAAAAAAACACCATCTCGATCTCCATCCTGCCCATGATGTAATCACCCTATGACGGCATAGAATCCCACCTTCGACGTCAACTTGCAATCATTGCTTTCCACTTCTCGTACTTATTAACCTCTCACCCTTCCTCATCTGAGACCATTCCACATTCAAACAAACTCTTCACCAATTACTCAATCCCGGTCCCTTTCACACACCAAACATCACAGCAATCATGCCTGAGGGACGTCAATCACCAGCTCCCGAGCAGCTGAGCGGCCGCCAGCAGCAGGACCCTCCTGGCTCTGGTCACGGAATCAACAAGACTGATGACAAGGACCCCAAGAGCCAGCTTGAGGCAAGAAATCCGCCAATTCCAGTTTCGAACATGATGCTAACTATCTGCAGAACCTCTCATCCAACCCCAAGGGTATTACCGACGATATTGTGGAAGAGAAATTCTCCAAGACTGAGAAGAAATAGTCAGTCAAGTCAAGACAAAAATCCCAAATGAAACAGTCTTAACATGGGAATAGAACAAACGATACCCCGATGGTTATGAATTGATGGACAAGGGAATGCATAGAACGAATAAACCACGACTGAAATAGTCGCTTCATTTGAAACACTGTCCGTATCGCAATTGTAACATGTCTGTGAATGTATCTTTATTTATAGCTTACGTGCGAATGATGCTGCAACAACGTCGTTCATTTCATAAATCAAGAGATAGTCTTTCCATATGTTACTATTCTCAAACTATAGGCTTCTGTCACGTTTCAAGACTGATAATCACGATTAAACGTGGATGGCAGAATTCATCTCAAATTTATTGATTGTGACATGCGTAAAAGTCGTAACAATTCGTTAACTAAAAGGCTGCAACAAACCATCATATGAATTTCTCACCAGAGCTCAAGAAATATCCCATTGCTTCCTCATTACTTCACGTCTCCCCAATTTTGATAGCTTAGTGCTTCTCGCCACCCTCAGGAGCGCTCACGCTGGGAACGTTGTCGGCAGAGGCGGCAGGAACTGATGTTCCTAGACTGCCCTGACCAGCCTCGGGGGCGGCGGTACCGGAGGTCTTCTCCTTACCGAAGACCTTCTCGAGACCAGCGGCCTTGTAGGCGCTTCCACCGTGCTCCTCCTTCTTGAGATCAGCAAGGCGACGAGCCTCGGCGTGCACCTCTTGAACTTGTCGGCTACCCTCGGTGTAGAACTCGGCGATCTTCTTGCCGGTGGGTGTGTTGGAGGCCTTCTCAAAGTAGGAGCTGAGGCCGAGCCAGAGGCTGTTGGCGCGCTGGGTGATACCATAGCTCTCGTCGGTGGCCTTGGCTCGGTCGGTAGCGTGGTACTTCTGGTCGAGACCCTGGAGGGTAGAGAAGAAGCGGTTGGAGACGTTGTGAGCGGCATCGAGGTCGAGGGCACGCTGGATGGCGGCGTCGCCTACGACATAACCGTGTGCAAGGTACTCGGCCAGGATGCGGGCGCGAGGCTTCTCCTCTTGGGTGATCTCATCGGAGTCGCGGTCAGCGTTCTTGGTGACTTGGTGGACATCGTCTTCGCCGTCAGCGCCGGCGCTGGTGACCTCAAGATGGTTAGGACCGAGTTGGGTGTTGTTGAGGAGAAGAGCAGTCTTCTTGGCAGTCTCCTTCTCGAAGATAACCTCTGCGGACTTGGTCTCGCCCTCTTGGGTGACCTTGAGATCAGCGATCTTACCACTGGAGGACGTTAGCTGTGAAGCACGGAAAGTAAAGCGAGCAAGAGCTTACCAGAAGCTGAAGAAGTCCTTGATCTCGCTGTCGCTAGTGGACGAAGCGATGTTCTTAACGTTGATAGTAGAGTTGGCAGACATGATGAATGTGCGGTTGTACGTGTTTATGGTTTGGTGTGGTTAATGAGGGGTATCAAGCTTGTTGTGTTGAAGGTTGAAGGTAGCAAAGGGCAGGCAAGTGTTTTTAAAGAGTCAAGGCAAATAAGAAGCAGGAATGACGACACCGTGATAGATCGTGACGAGGCAACGAGGCAGTGGCAGTGTGAACAGGAGCTTGTGTGGATGTGGCTCCCTCATTCCTATCCCCTCCAGCTCAGACGACTTCACTGCGGGGCAGAGAGCGACGTCATCGACGGGTGCCATGTGCGATGGCATGATGTACTTGATGAGAACTACATGACCTCACACACAATATAGGTAGTGGGACAAGTACCTTCTAGCAGCGTCATGAATTGTTGAGATTGATCTCTTGGAGAACGGACTAGAAGGAGGCTGTCAATGATTGCCCTTGCGTCGTCTCTTGTGGCGAGGTGATGAGACACTTCTCAGACCAAATCAAGTTGCAGAAGAATGATTTGCTTTCCTTCTTTCACATGTGAAGGACCCTTTTCTTTTTTTCTTTTTTGGTCTGATCGTCTTTGCATATGATCATCGAGGCTTATTTGTTACCCTCTCAACATTATGCTCATAAGCCATACAAACAACACCATGAGATTTACTGTCTACGCGTCTTGATACGCGTTAACGGAAAACTGAATATCACACGGTGGCCTTCATTCTGAGGCGTTTACCTCTGTTCCTGCTTTTGGAACTTGTAACTGTGTCATTCGGAGACGCTTCATGTGTTGGGTTTAGCATCATTAATCTGGGCGCTAATACTCTCTCTGTACAGTAGTTCCCGTTCGGTGGGTTAGGTACCGTGAGTTGCTAATTTAATCTCCCCTTGGCGTATCAAAATGCTCAAGACAACTAACGTGTGCCAAGTTATGAATACACGGATTCAAAGTATTTATCGACTCATCGTACTCAATTAAAGTCAACTTACACCATTGAATTCCACTGCCATTGCTAAATCATCTGCTCCTCAACACCGCCTTTGCTAGGTTTTAACGCCAACTCATCCGTCTCCATCCCATCACATTAACCCCTGTCCATCAAGCGCTGATGGATTTTTCCAATGCGACTTCAATTTCCGTCCTCATCAATTTGCAACAATCCTCGTTTGCGGACCTCGACTTAGTGGTTTGTTCGCAGGGTAAAAGCTCATGCTATTGTCATGCCATGACATCTATTCCACTATGGCCAGAATTGCCTGGCATCATATACACAACCTCATTATCACGCAACAACACCTCCTGTGATGCCTCGCCACTCTCTTGTAAACGCTTCCTCATATGGTCAAGTTGCTCCTTCAGCCCACTCTCCCGCTTCGTTAGACAAGTGTTGGGGGTCACACGCCAACTTGGCGATCGCCTCCATTGACAAGGGTCGTCATTATCCTTGCTCAGACGAAAAGACAGACTCGTTCGCATCCTCTCAAGTGAGCAGAACGAAGGGACAGTCTCATAAACCAGGAGACACTCAAAGTTCCCGTGGCGCTCCCTAAACAGCCAATGTTGCAGTCATGTTCGTATATCTCACTGCATTAAAGTATTGATTACGGGCTTTTCATGGCGCCCCTCTCGTATTTAAACGGGATCCTTCACGGGCTTCCAGGCGGTCAAAGCGGTTCTCGCCTCCCCCAGACCGCATTGATTGAAATTTGCAACCCTAGCCCAGTCACTATCAACTTCTAACCTTGAAAGGAGCACACTATAGGCAATTGTTTCGCGCCAAGGAAACAAACTAAAAAGAACCCATATTCCCAGTTTTGTTGGCCTCACCTCTGTTGGTGATTTCACCGCTCTCGTGCTCACCTTTTCACTCTTTCAAATATCGGCTGTTTTCGCCCAGAGGAGGAGAGTAGTATACGGATATCGTTTAAAAGTTTTTGATTTCGCAGGTTGGGAAAAGTAAAGGTAATTCAATTCTTGGAGACTCTTTGACAAACTCAGCGCTAACAAAGAGGTCAGAAACCTGCCATGCCTCTCGTTCCCAGCTCCGCACCGCTGCCCAGCAGCATGACCACTATTGCTTATTTGCGCGAGCAAGAAATCCTCAACATCGTTTACATCGGTCTACTCGTCATTGAAGTTCTTATGGTTTTGGGTGTCATCACTATGGCTCTTGTTAAGCGAGTTAAAGTCAACCACCAACTCAAAACGATACGATCAGCAACCACTTCCGCAAAATACGCTCCCTACCACTTTGCGCATGCCGACACGGAAAAGACCATGTTATGACGATCCGAAAGATGATGAGAAAAGAGATACGAAGAGGAACGATAACCTCAGATTGGCGCTTGACCACTACCGTGCACCATTACTACGATCATTGCATTTTATTCCTTTGTTCACCAACGTCGACACAATATCTGCGCACTTTTTTCAGCATGACAAAGAGGAGAGGAGGCTGTTCATTATCTCGCATGGTTTTAAGGCGTAATGCGTTTGTTCACTTGCAGCGGAAGATATGACTTACGACTATTTATACCCAGACTTTCTAGTTAATGCCATTTATGTTTTACGTTGCCTCTTGATCGCCAAAACTGAAATATTGTAAAGCTGATACTAACGTCGTCTTCTAAATTTGGAATCTCACCAGCTGCAGTGTGGCACTCATGGATCACGAAACAACCGTCATCTTGGACTCTCCTAACATTTTTGGCGACCGACCTAAAAGTCGATGCCCACACTGCAAGTTCTACCCTAAGCATGGCAAGAATAAGGTATGCGAAGCCTGTGAGTCCTTGATGGGAAAAGACAAAATCGAAGCCTTTCTCGGAGGCGTAGAACGGAGCTGGTGTGTGTATCATCTAAATCGACAAGGATTTCTACCTGGCCGCGCCGCCCTCGAGGATGCTATGCGTGCTCGATTAATTCAAGAGCAGCGATGCATACGCCTTTGTTGCGCCAAACCGAAGTTACCCATCTATGTACATTGCGAAGACTGTCGCGAGATGTTGCTCTGCAAAGGCGTACCCATCGCCGTCGCCAACAGAAAGATTTACGAGCTTCCACATTTTGATGCTTTTCCAGACTACGATGACGACTCTTTCGCAGTAAGAGTTGCTAAAGGTGAGGTGAGTGTCTACGAAAAGGACTGGAACTGGGATTGCTCGTTGGCAAAGTTTGTGCATCCCAACCGCAAGAGATTCGCAGGAAATATCAGCCTCGAGGAGATGGTTTGATGTATGCTTATATCCAAGTCAACAGAAAACTATGACTCTTTTCTAGTTATTTTGCGGGCTGATTCCGTGAATGTTCCAGGCTCAAGTGAGTTGTGGAGTTTTGAGGTCAAAGTTCGATGATTTAACTCAGGAGGTACAAACCTATCTGCCAGTATTCTGGATCATTCATAAACTTTTAGAAGGCGTAATGTCTGAGCTATTTTTATTAAAGAGGACAAAAGACACAGCCCGTTCGTGAACTCCTTGCTATCCCTTGACTCACTATAGACACTCATCGAGTTGTCAATTTCAATTTCTATTGGAACCATAAACATCCACATACCTGAACTAGCTTTTCGATGAATCTCCCGCTGTTTGATGTTGAATGTTTTGAGTAAACTGTCAGATATGATCTGATTATCATCAATGCACTATCTGTCAACCCCAGCCCCTATCTTTATATCGAGTTGAACAATCGCTGCGTAATCCCGACAGAATCTTGCTTTGGCATAGAGGAGGTTCTGACAGAAATACGAGAGGTGATATTTCTTGATGGGAGTGCTTACTCTTGTATATAACGGCAGAACTTACCACTGGCGTGTAGGGTTTTAATCGTCTAGTTCAATTACAGATTTCCAGGGGCTGTGTTGTTCAACAGTGCCATAGCGCGAGTATGTCCAGTAATGTTTGAAGTGATTCAACATTGATTTTCAAGCCTTTCGTAAAACAAACAAGAAGTGTTGCGTCGATTAGTTGGGCAGTGGCCTGTCCTGTAACCCAAGCTGGGACCTATGCATTCACATGCAGTGTCGACGCACAATTTTAGGCACAGTGTTGTTCCCAGAAAGTCTAGGAATAGTATCACTGGGTTTGACAAGTAGTCGGAGTGATGAGCATAGGCTTGCTTATGGCTTGACCGATATGAACACCGTCAAGTTTTCCGCGGAAAAGAATTGCCGTGTTCACCACACATTCTGCAGAGGATCCCATAAACTCGGGAAAAGCTGATCGAGGTAAGAAGACTCCGCCATGGCAAAGCTAGAAAAGTCCAAAACCTCTTCAGCACTGGGGTCTTCAGGCGGAGTCATGGCGCGTAGCTTCTCAACGACGTCGGCATGTTGGGCCAAACAGATATCACCCAAATCCCAAGCATGCTTCTCTTTGTGTTCACGAAGAGCCGACAATAAGTCCGAGGCTATCTTCAATGAGCTGCTTTGAACTAATCCGGCTGTTGAGTTTTCTGTCTCTAGTGCGCACCGGAGAAGGAAGCTAACGGTTGTCGAAAATGCAAAAGCGCTGCTTGGCAACCAGCAATCAGCCAAATGTTCGGGCTGCAATTCCTGAGTCAAGATGAGAATGTCCTCTGCAGTTCTCCGGGCTTGCATGTAACGGTTCAGTAGGCGACTATCCCCTGTATCACGAACTCGCTTCTCAGCTTCAAGCTCGATTCTCTGCAATAGGAGTCTGACTGTCAGATATGACAGGCGAAGATTGGCAGCACCAGGAATCTTTAGGTTGTTTCCACGAATAACAACCCGTCGGATCCCGTCACTGAGAGTCTCTATCCAGTTATTCAGAGCCAATTCTAGATGTGTCGTATCTGTGGTTTCATCTGAAAGGCTGAATTGGTGGACATGTCTCAGGTGTAAGTCCAGAACCTCTGTCAATCTGACTAGAGCGATATACACTGAAGCATTGAGAGCCTTCTCTGAAGAAGATCCCTCTCCACAAATGTCTTGGACGAAAGGCTGGGGCACATCGTTTAGAGTCGGAGAGATAAGCGGCGGTGTTCCATGCGAAAGACTCAACCTACCTACACGTTAGAGCTGAAAAGGGGGTTTCGTGCATGGCGTGTACGTACCATTTATCGTGAATCAACAGAGCCCACCATATCTTCATTCTGAGATTCTTCTCAGACTGCGGTATTTCCCAGGATATTGGGCTGTGGTTGAGACCCAGTGAATGTGCCATAGCGACTGAAGACGCCAACAAAACGCCATTTCCTATCAGAGAAGTCACTTCGCGACCACCTATATTCAGAATCAATGCTTCTATGGTGGATATTCCGGGAGATCTATGTATCTGGGAATAAGCTGCCTCAGTCGCAAGATTCCAGATGAAGCGCCCGTCAGGACATCGATGACGGGAAAGAATAGGAGAGCTATTCCAGAAGGTTATCGAGTGGGCGTACAGGCCACTGAGGAGCGCTGGCGATATGGCAGATTTGTTCTCTCTATATTGCTTACGGAAGTGTCCTTCGTCAAGAAGAGGAAAGCAAGAATTAGTCTTGTGAAAATAACTGAGCGACGTTAGTAGTTGTAGCCTCAATCTGTTGAAGACTCACACGTCGATAAGATCACTGGTAAAAGGCTCCAATATCTTCTCTATAAGCTGCAACCTTTCCTCTGCGAAACTGAGGTTTGAATCCAACCCAACTGGTCGTTTCTGCACAGCAGTAAACAGCACAGGTCGAGACCTATTGCCTATGGCTGGCCTGATAATCCGTGACCCTCTTGAGGCACTGGGCATGGAAGATAAGTAGTCCGACAAAACCTGGTTATCGGAAGTGACTGCTGGCCCAACTATGTGAAGATTGTGTGGTTGCTCGTCATTTGAGCCCAATGCCAAAGGTGACTCCTCGGATTGAGCGTTTTGCTGGACCCATTCTGTGCTTCTTGGCAAAGTGGGAGAGGCGTTTGACACTTGATTCTCATGAGATGTGGTGTTTCTCGATGAACTGTTAGGCACTGAGGTTGGAGCAGATTCTACAACAGACACTGGCTGCTCGATGGTAGAATTGTCTGAAATGGATACTGCCGGGGGCCCAGTTGCCAGGCTAATCTGACGGGGATTTTTAGTCATCGACAGCCTTACTCGTCTCCGACGCCGAGGAGTTTGAGAACTTGAAGGAGACTCCGTGGGAAAGATGCAATCCGTGCGGTGTGCCCGGCACATCAGACAGCAGGTGGAAGATGCCTCGGACTGGCAGCGGGACTTGCGTTTTCGGCATGGGATACAGGCCGGCCGAAGATGGGACCTGTACGGCCGTTCATTAGAAGTTCCCTGTTCCATCTTGGTTTTTGGTAGCCAGAATGGAAGATGTCTTGCTGTAAGTTGATGGAGAATGCTTTCCGCGGAGTGTGCTGAAGCTGGTGTTGATAAGAGGAGTTGACTTCCCCGCGGGAAACTAGTAACACAGTCCGCGTACAGTGTATATGACAGTGTTAGTATAAGTCAAGAATGTTCTGAGGAGAACAACGGATTTCCAACGAAGCGATAGACGTATTATGTGTTTTGATAAAAATGAATAGCTATATTGATAGATACTTTTGATACTAACACCTATTATTGTTAGTCGCTTAGTAACTATCGATAGCCCGGTCCGCTTTCGATGTCCCCTTCGCAGTCATCGACATGTGTTATCGAAGGTGCTGATGAGGAATTATGTGACTCGACATCTTGAGTCATCTCATGAGCAACCAAAATAGCACCATTGCCGTCGGTATTGTGTGGGAAAATTTCCTCCGTGCGATCATTCTTGGTATGTGCGCCGCCAATAGCGTGACTTGTCAATCCATACTTGGTGTTGCCTTTTGACTTGCTCGGTAGGTAGCCATCCTTATGGTTCTGGTTGTAGCTTCTGAGCGGGATAGATCCTCCTGTCTTCTTGGAGCCGCTCCATCCATAGTAGTTATTCGAACTTCTTCGGCCACTCGAGAGTCCCAAGGCATGGTTGAGCCATGGGACCTTTTGAATGACCTGGCGAAGACACGGGATTGTGGAACATATGACGAGAGAGGCCAACTCAACTTGGGACCATATCATGGGATCGGCAAATTCATCTGGACACTGTTAGAAGCGGCGAAGATGTTGTTTCACATGACTAACAAGTAGCATCAGCTCCAATTCGAGTGACAAAATTGATGCGAATAATCGAAGTGGCGCAAACCCTTTCGTGGTCAGTTAAAGCTGTAACAGAAGACAGTGACAACGTACAATAAATCAAGGGATAACATGGCAATCAAGCCCAGCCTCTTTGCCACAGGAAGATGCAACCTCCACATGGCAGGAATAGGTTGGATAAAGAGGAACAGGTCGGTACACATGTTGAACACAAACTGTTGAGGCTTCGTCAATATACGAAACTCCATTCATGTGCTTCCCGAATCCCACTTTCGCAGCTATTTCGTGTCAGTCCGTCTCCTCCATCATGCTGAGTTGGAGTGCGCGAAGCTTACAGAGAATTGTGCATATACAGAGTCCTGTCAAGAATGCCTACCAATGCTATATTAGTGGTGTAAAGATACGCGAGACAAGGTCTTATAATCCAAGAAATATTACACATGCTGCTGTGTTCAAGTCTGTTACATTGTCAGTCCTGTCGTTGCTGAGTTCTTCGAATTACTCCGGCCTTACAGTCATCTGTGCCAATCGTCTTCAGGCTGGATCTGATCCATAAGCGAGTACCAATAAACACCGTAGTAAGAGAAATGACCGTTATCGATGATGCAAGCAGTGCCCCTGACAAGTCATCTCCCGCCATGACGGTATTGCGATGAGTCTTTGACTTATTCTTCTTGTCGTTGAAACGAAGGGATTCTTTGAAAGGTTTCGGGATGAAGTGTCTGTTCCTGAAAGCCCAAAGCTGCTCTTGAGATATATGAATACTTTTCACATTGCCAACGCTGCACCAAATTTGTCCAAATGAGCGAGGAGCTGGATACAAGCTCCTCTGAGAGAATGACAGACAGCTGTGCTGGGTGGAATAACAGGTAGTGGTAAACGAGTCGCTAAGCTGCGTCCTCTCGCGTCTTGTGATTTCTGATGGAATGCAGTGACAGAAAACCGGGAACCAAGGCCATGTAAGTCGTAACTCAATCAACCTTTCCGTCTCGTCTCCGGTTTTGATGCCAGAGTCTTCAGAGTCAACTTATTATTGCAAAGAGAATGGTCCGCGCCAAGTATCTGGCCTAGTCATGCCAGTAGCCTGCCGGGGAAGCTATCTACATGAACCGCCTGTCAAGGGACCGTTCATAGCTGCAACTAACAGGCGGTATGGCATCTGGTCACCGGTAAGGGAGACGAAAATAGTGCACGTTCACAAAGACGAGGATGATGAACCTGCTAGTCAAGATCCAAAGCAAGACCCCGTTATGATGGTGGTTGTTTAAGTTTCAGCCACAAGAGCCCGTTGGTTTTCGTACTAATACGAGCATGCCCAGAATGTCTCTTGTGGTGTGGGTCGTCACCCATGGCTCAATGGGGTTCGGTAGTGACCTATCAATGGGAAGAACCGAGTGAATTTAGTCTGGCAACGCAATTCTTCCAATACGCGATCGCCATGCGAGTCAGGCGCCAGGCTCAGCAACTGACAACATCACTGAAGTCTGCAACGGCCCCAACGCCATCGAAGATCATTACCCTAAACTTCTGGAATACCTCTTAGCATTCGATTGTACAATTGCTGGTTTCCAAGCCAAGTGAATCCCCGGGATCTTCCTGGCGTCGTGTTCTGCAGGGTAATCCCGTTCCTGGTTTGGTCAGCTTCCACGGTAGTCATGTTCTTGAGTCACGGCATTTCCTTTGTTGAATATTGAGCTGCTCTATTATAAGTCGAAGGAGATTCCGTATTAGCCACTGTAACTCATTTTCATGAAGAGTCTGTTCATAAGAACGGTAGTCCCCAGAGCACGCGATCATTCCTAGGGAAGTCAAGCTTCTCGTACCAAACAAACAGTACATAACTCGTTGCTAAGATCAACGAAATCAAGCTCGATCTCCCGCTGAGGATCATCCGAGGATATCAGGGCTAGGGGAGGAAAGCAAACTCAGGGTCTTGATCCTAAAGGACAAAAAGACTCAAGTAATATAGCTTAAGCTTATGATATCTTTGCTGAGTTTAGGATATATTTACTAATTTTAGGATAACCTTTGCTGAGTTTAGGATATATTTACTAATTTAGGATGCCTTTTGCTGAGTTTATCTTAAGACCCTCCAAGAGAGGCCTTACGACCTCCCAAACATCCAGATTTTACGCCAGATGCTTTGCTCCCTCTCTTCTGAGTTCTCTTCCTTCACGTTATGTTGTCCGACAATAGTCAAGAAAACCTGGTCCAGCGTTGTTGGCATGACGCTGTAGTGACCCACGCCGAGTTCTGCCTTGTTCTCCTCCAGTAACACAACTAGGTGCCCAATTGCACTCTCGCTCAAATCAACCTCTCGGTCGCTTGTGATCTCTTCCTTCTTGCGACCAGAAGTTGCCGCGAGGACTTGGCCAGCGCACACTGAAAAGCGGATCTGGCCATGGTATGTCTTCTCATCAACATCGGCTGAGGGCAAAGTTTGCCGAATCCAGTTTGTCATTCGGTCCATTTCCTCCTGGCTAGTACGAGGGGCGCTTTTGGCGACAAGGTGAATATGCAAGGCATCGCCGAAGCGATGTCGAAGATTATCTGGCGTTCCCAGAGCAAGCATCCTTCGAGCAAGAATCCCAGCACGACCAGCCAGTGCATCTGCTTCCTCCATGCTGTGTGTCGTGAGAAGAATCGATCTTCCAGGGACTGTGGCCTCGAGCGTTCTCCACATCACACGCTTTGAAGCAGCATCGAGACCAGACGAAGGCTCATCCAAAAGCACAACAGTGGGATTGCCCATCAGAGCGATCCCTAAACTCAGTTTTCGTTTATTGCCTCCAGATAGAGTATGCGCCATGCGAGTAGAGAATGACTCGAGTCCTACTGCCTGCATAACAGCCCGCACGTTGTGTTCGACGTTGGTGACACCTCTGATGTTAGCGTAGAATTCGAGATGCTCTCTTACAGTCATCTGATCCATAGCATCGAACTGAGGGCAGACGCCCAAGTTAGCCCGAGCGCCTGCGAGGTTCTTGTTGACGGATATATCTTCCACCAACACGTCGCCTCCATTTCGGTCCGGTTTGATATCACCTCTAATGAGAGAAATGGTTGTTGATTTTCCGGCACCATTTGGACCAAGTAGAGCAAAAACCTCGCCACGCTTGATACCAAAGGTGACGTTGTCAACAGCTATGTTGTCGCGGAAGCTCTTCGTCAGGTGCATAACTCGGAGACCGTGCTCAAGCCCCTCATTACGAGTGACTTTCTCGCGCTCATCAATGATGTCTTCGTCGACATGTTCCTCATCTGATTCAGCTTTGTTCCCTCTCCAGAAGAAACCTCGGAGTGAGGCTCCCGCTGTACCAGTATCGAGCCAAATCAAAAGACCAAAGAAGATGAGCGATTGAAGGATGAGGTACAGAATGGGTCCACCATAGTATAAGATACCGCTGGGGTTTTCGGTCAGGCTATTGCCATCGCATGCCGTAGAAAAGAGGTTTGTAGAGATGAATAGCGCTTTCAAAGCTGAACCAATGGGGGCGAATGCGGAAATGACAAAGTGAACAAAACGCAAGGAGCTGTCAACCTTGGTGACGGGCGAGTAAGTCAACACCGACATGTACGCAATGATGTAGACGACAAGAATTAGAGTCTGGCTCGCTGCTGCCCAGGCGTACGTTCCAAGTTGTGTTTTAGTGAAGAGGGAGACAAGGTACGCAAAGAGTGTCGAAGCTATTCCGTATAGGAACAAGACGAGGAAGACGTAACCAATGTTGAACCAGATATCGGAGACACTAGCCCATATTGCTACCACGATAGCTGTGCTCACCAGGACAATGATTAGATCAAACAGGAGGTAGGCTATCCAGAGTGGTAATGGCCGAACACCGTTGGAGTATTGTAAACCGCGGATGAACTTGCGCCGCTCATTACTCGGGTAGAGTGCGAAAAATGCAGGATAGACCGAGAGAGCCATCGACATGTAAACAATCATTTGAAGTGCATCACCTGTCATGTCACTCACAGGAAGTTCAAAAGGAGCCCAAGAGGTTGCGATACTGACGTTGGACAACATGACATCCAGCATCTGCTGTGCGAAGATAGGCATTTCGATGGCGAGATTGGCGACCCATGCAAATGTAGGACCTTGCTTGTCATCGCCCAGCCAAATTCCTCCGGTGATGATCTTTCGTTCCGACTCGATCTTGTCTTTGAATTCCTGGAAAGTATCGGCCGTGATAGAATTGTTCTTGCCGAACCTCATTTGTGTTTCATTTCCAGAGCCACCCTTAAACATGGGATTTATGAGGCTGAGCAAGTCAGGAGTCAACTTTGAACTTGGCCCAGCTAAGAGGCGCAGTGTAATGCTGTCGTTTCCTTTAAGTTGATCGAGTACGTTTTTCCTCTGAACAGCATCCGTTGATTGCTGTCCTGGCACGCAACTGGGCGTACTTTTGCGAACGATAAAAAGGGCAGTCAACCCGCCAGCGAAGATTGGAAGAAGCAAGGCAAGCAGATACAAAAATCGATTCCGCTTTAGAATAGTTAGGCGCTTGCGGAATAGAATTAAACTTTGTTTCACGTATCCAACTCGCTGTCCATTTGTAAGTGCCAACCCTGGAATTTCGCTTTGCTTCTCTTTGGAGGTGACCTTTTCGGACGATTGGATAGACAAGGTGTGGTTGGCGTTCCGGAACGCTTCTTCATCTTTGATCTCCTCAGCAACCTGGAGAAAAACATCCTCGATAGTTGGGCCTGAGAAGCGATATTCTGTGATACCCACAGCTTCAAGACTCTTAATGACAACAGCTGCGAGTTGCGAGGTGGGAGCAGTGTATGTGATGAGGTCGAAGGCATCCTTCTTTGCAACTTGATCAATGTCTGGGGTTTCTCGTATCCCAATATCCTTGGGAACATGAACTCTGTAACCACCGCCCATATTGTCCTTCAAGGCCACCGAGGAGCCTTCTGCACGCAGGGTTCCCTTGGAAAGTATGGCGATGTGGTCGGCAAGAAGATCAGCCTCGTCCAAAAAGTGGGTGGTCAAAATCATCGTGCGTCTACCACGCTCAGCCAGAATGATGTCCCAAAGCTTTCGTCTCGACAGCGGATCAATGCCACTGCTGACTTCGTCGATGCAGCACACGGTGCTTCCTCCCGTCAACATGAGTCCCAGTTGAAGCTTACGCTTCTGACCACCCGAGAGAGTCTTTGCAAATGCCTTCCGCTTTTTATAGAGATCGACGGA